TCATTTTTTTCAGTAATGCAACTTAAAAGGTGAACCTAATATATGAGATAGACTCATTACATGCAAAGCAGGATAGTTCAAGCCGTGATTTGTCATAATTGAGATGATTATGGCTTACAGCTCATGAAAACCCCAAATCCACAATCTCAGAAAATTAGAATATTACATGCAATCAATAAAACAAGGATTGTACATAGAACAATATCGGACCTCTGAAAAGTATAAGCATGCATATGTACTCAGTACTTGGTTTGGGCCCCTTTTGCAGCAATTACTGCCTCAATGCGGCGTGGCATGGAAGCTATCAGCCTGTGGCACTGCTGAGGTGTTATGGAAGACCAGGATGCTTCAATAGCGGCCTTCAGCTCTTCTGCATTGTTCGGTCTCATGTCTCTCACCTTTCTCTTGGCAATGCCCCATAGATTCTCTATGGGGTTCAGGTCAGGCGAGTTTGCTGGGCAATCAAGCACAGTAATCCCATGGTCATTGAACCAGGTTTTGATGCTTTTGGCAGTGTGGGCAGGTGCCAAGTCCTGCTGGAAAATGAAGTCAGCATGCCCATAAAGCTCATCTGTGGAAGGAAGCATGAAATGCTCCAAAATCTCCTGGTAGACGGCTGCATTGACCCTGGACTTAATGAAGCACAGTGGACCAACACCAGCAGATGACATGGCTCCCCAAATCAACACAGACTGTGGAAACTTGACACTGGACTTCAAGCATCTTGCAGTGTGTACCTCTCCATTCTTCCTCCAGACTCTGGGTCTTTGGTTTCCAAATAAGATGCAAAAGTTGCTCTCATCAGAAAAGAAGACTTTGGACCACTGAGCAACAGACCAGTTCTGTTTTTCTTTAGCCCAGGTAAGACGCTTCTGACGTTGATTGTTGTTCAGGAGCGGCTTGACAAGAGGAATATGACATTTGAAGCCCATGTCCAGGACCCGTCTATGTGTGGTGGCTCTTGATGCACTGACTTCAGCCTCAGTCTACTCCTTGTGAAAGTCCCCAACACTTTTGAATGGCCTTTTCCTGACAATCCTCTCCAGGCTGCGGTCATCCCTGCTGCTTGTGCACCTTTTTCTTCCACACTTTTCCCTTCCACATCACTTTCTATTAATGTGCTTTGATACAGCACTTTGGGAACATCCAACTTCTTTTGCAATTACCTTTTGAGGCTTTCCCTCCTTGTGGAGGGTGTCAATGATGGTTTTCTGCACAACTGTCAGGTCAGCAGTCTTTCCCATGATTGTGATTCCTACTGAACCAGACTGAGAGACCATTTAAAGGCTCAGGAACCCTTTGCAGGTATTATGGCTTCATTAGCTGATTAGAGTGGGACACTTTGAGCCTAGAATATTGAACCTTTTCACAATATTCTAATTTTCTGAGATTGTGGATTTGGGGTTTTCATGAGCTGTAAGACATAATCATCTCAATTATGACAAATCACAGCTTGAACTATCTTGCTTTGCATGTAATGAGTCTATCTCATATATTAGGTTCAGCTTTTAATTTGCATTACTGAAATAAATGAACTTTTGCAAGATATTCTAATTTTTCAAATTTCACCTGTAACTGGAGCAAAGTGAGGTCAAGAGACAGGCAATGTTCCCTTTAAGCTGCCCCTGGAGCTTCATTTATTTATTGGGTTATAACCCATTTATTATTTATTTATGTATTGTATTTTTATCTCAAAGTGATACAAGGGTTGAGATGGGGGATGGGAATTATCACTATAACCCGATGAGGATGGCTGAACCAAAGTCACTCACTTGGGTAAGGACTTAACACGGAATCTCCCTGGTCCAGATCCAATCCCTTAATCACTATACAATTTTTTTTCTCCCTAGTGTTTTCCTGCAAACACAGGGTCTGCTTTTTTTATTTAACTGAGTTGATCCATTGGTTGCAACTGAAATTGACGAACCATTTTGTTACTTGAGCCTGATGTCATTGCAGACTGAAAGAGAGTGACTGGCCCAAATTCATCCAACCAAGTTTCATGGCTAAGATGGAAGTAGAACTCTCCTGCTTTCTTAACCATTAGACTATACTATACTGGTGTTTTTTTTAAAGTAGTATCACTTGGTCTTTGGGGCATAATATATGCCATCCTCACATCTTCTCAGCCATAAAGGTTTTGCAAGTTGTCAGTGGAATCATTTCCAATGCCACAGCCCCCCTTCTCCCTCCTCCATTCAGTGGCCCAGGAACCACACTGAAGTACGCAGGGAATAACAGCAGCACCGATGAGCATGCAAAGAGAAATGAAATGTCAGAAAGCAGCTGGGATGATAGCAGGGAAAGGAGGCTCTTCTCATTCCTGAAACCTCCCAGGGAATCCTCACTTTCAGAAACACAGTGTGTGGGGAGGTGTTCCTCTCACAGCTTTAATACCAAGAAATGAAAGCCAGAATTCTTGGAGGCTGACCAGTGGAGGAAAAGCTGCAAACAGCTAGGACTGTATTCCATTCATGATTGGAGGAGTAGAGAGTGTTGAAGGAGGTTCGTTGAATAGGCAAAAGCTTCAGAAAGGAAGGGGTCTTAACTAGTAACACCTGAAAATGGTCCTCGATGATTTGTTGGATTGCCTACACACCACTTCCTTATAAAAGGCTTTAAAAGTGCTTGCTTGACATAGCCTGAACTATGAATGAGCCAATGACATGCAACTTTAGTCAATGAAGCAAACCCATTCATCAGGTAGTGAACCCTGCGCAAAGACATATTTTTTAAAATCTTGGGGAGATGAGGAGAAAGCTTTCAACTTGGTCTCTTCCTGAAGCATTGCGGAGAAGATCCTGGAAGACACTAATAATATACCCTGTGAAGTTGATTGGAGCACTTAATCTATGTGGAACATGTCAGTTCAAATACAGAAAGCATAAGGTCAAAGCTACCAGCGGGACTGAGGTTACATGTACGTGTTATAAATAACAAAATAAAAACATTAGCACACTGAATTTAATTGGGAAATCTGTTGGCAACCTGTGCAAAATGATTAGAATAGGCATCATAACCTTTTATTGGAAAACGCCCAGCAGATATCTGGCCATCAGAAAATTCATGCAATTTCTAAGTCTCTTGAAAGAACATTCCCTCGCAGAACATATTACAATAATCTAATCAGGTTTATGTTGCATAAGATATTACATAGTGACTAGGGAAAAGTATTGATGCTAAATCAGTTATAGTTGTTAAGAAATCCTTACCACATTATTGATTTGAGCATGCAATCCTAGATTACAAATTGTAGAACTACTCTACTCCTTCAAGGGGAAAAAAAACACCCTTTTAAAAAAAAAGGTTAGAATCCCATACTTCCATGAAAGTAGCCTGGAGGACAGAAGTGGAGCTTGCAGGACTCTGCAGTTCAAAAGCTGCAGTGAGGGGCAGTAATTGTACGATCTGGTGCTACAGGGCTATCCTTAAGAATTTCCTCTCTATTTTAAGCTCTATTGTCCGGACAGCACAATCTTTGTTTGAGAAAATCAATGTGACTTGTTTGTCATTATTACTTAAGATTGTGCAGATAGAGTTGGAAGGGACCTTGTAGGTCATCTAGTCCAACCCCCCACCCAAGCGGGAGACCGTACACCATTTCTGACAGATGGCAGTCCAATCTCTTCTTGAAAGTCTCAAGTGATGGCACTCCCACAACTTCTGAAGGCAAAGTGTTCCATTGGTTGATTGTTCTCACTGTCAGAAAGTTTCTCCTTATTTCCAAGTTAAATCTCTCCTTCAGTTTCCATCCATTATTCCTTGTCTGGCCTACAGGCACTTTAGAAAATAGCTTGACTCCTTCCTCTCTATGGCAGCCCCTCAAATATTGGAAGACTGCTATCATGTCTCCCCTGGTCCTTCTCTTCACTTGACTGGCCATGACCAGTTCCTGTAACCGTTCTTCATATGTTTTAGTCTCCAGTCCCCTAATCATCCTGGTTGCTCTTCTCTGTACTTTTTCTAGAGTCTCAACATCTTTTTTATAGTGTGGTGACCAAAACTGGATGCAGTACTCTAGGTGTGGTCTAACTAAGGCTTTATAGAGTGGTATTAGTACCTTCCTTGGTCTTGATTGTATCCCTCTGTTAATGGAACTTAGGATTGCATTAGCTTTTTTGGCTGCTGCTGCACACTGCTGGCTCATATTTAGCTGGTTGTCCACTAAAACTTAGTTGTCCCTCTCACAGTTACTGCTATTGAGCCTGGTTTCATCCAGTCTATATGTGTACTTTTGGTTTTTCTTGCCTAAGTGTAGGACTTTACTTTTCTCTACATTGAATTTCATTTTTAATACTTAAAATATTCCAAAATAGCCAACACATTTCTAACTATCTTTTAAATAAAATCCTACAGATTCTCATGAATACATTCTTGTAAAATTATTTTCAATCTATCAGTTAGAATTGTTATAGATCTGTCCATAATCTGCCTGTTCCTCTGTAAATTTCAGTAATTTTGTTTCTTTAGATACCAATAGTCGTCTATTTTCTCTAGAGGAATGTCACCTCCTTTATAAGAACTTGAAACAATATTCATAAAACGCTTTTTGCATGGCCACGTTGTCCATTTATATAGTTTGTCCCTCTTATAATTTCAGTATTATTTTCTTTATGTAATTTATATGCTGGTTTCTATTTCTCTGATAGCATCTCAGTCTGCCTTAACAGAACAGAGATGCCAGACCGGACCAAACTCTCTTCCCCAATATAGTCCGGGATGGTAGAAAACTGAGTTTTACTTGTTATGTAAATTGGAATAATATTTGAGTTGTGATTTCAAAATCCTTCTGCATCAACAAAAACTAGCAGGAACTGGAACAAAGTAGTCCAGCGGGGCTGTAAGGGAAATTACCTAGCCAGAAGCCACCCGATTTCGCTCTCCGTAATTCGTCTAGAAAATTCGTTCAGAAAGCTGAACACGCTCGAAGAGAGCGACTTCCACGTGCTCTCTTGCAAACTACATTTCCCAACATGCTTCGCCGTCTACTGGTGATGATGCACTAAAAAGGAGGTACTGCGAAAGCTCGTTCTCTGTTGTCAGAGCTTAAAAAGCGGGGATTGAGCTGCGGGGGTCTCTCTTTCTCTCGGAAGGACACCCCCCACCCCTTTCAGTAGACTTGCATCAGAGGGAAGCGAGAAGGCCGGCCTGCCGTGTGCATTGGAAAGTAAGGGAAGGGAAGGGTAGGGAAGGGAGCTGAGAACTGGGCTCGCCTGCTCCCAGCGAAAAGTAGGCAAAGGCACAACGCGGGGAGGAGGGTTTGAGTATTTGATAGTAAAGAAAATTAGGAATGGGGAGGCGGACAAGAAAGCCAAATTTAAAATTTGTGTCTCGGGAGTAGACAGGTAGACACAATGGTGAAGGGAGTGTGCAAAGCAAATGGGACAAAAACCTTCCTATTTCTACTGGGAGGGAGTTGCATAGATTAAGAACAAGTATATGAGGTTTATTTTTTTCGAGTAAGGGGCGTGGGTGAACGCTTGAAGTAACGTGTAATGCTCCAATTACTGGGAAAAAATGATACCTTGTTCAGAAAACCTGGTGAATAGATAAGAAAGGGGGACAGTAGAATTTGAGAAGTTAGCAATAAAAGTGCCTGCCGATTTTCAAAGGCTCGGTTACAGGAGTAAAGTTGGCAATAAAGCCAATGTGAAACAATATACGAGGTACCTACATACATGCACACAGTTTCTGTGTCAGAGCACAAGCCTAAACTTAATTCCTGAGAATTATGAGTCATTTTGCTTAAAATTCCAGTATTATATTTTGGTCCTGAGTTTTAGTCTGTGCATGCCTTGAGAAGGGTCAAATAATGGACTAATGAAGATTTGTAGTTTAAGACTGAACTGATGGTGTCAAAAAAGGATAGGAAAAAAAAATCTATAAATGCTGCAAATGAAACAAAGTTTCCTTATTTAGTTACAGCTATCAAAAAGACATCACCAAATGTTATTCTACAGGGGTCTTTTGCTTAAAAGGTGGTTAGATGATCCATCAATTAATAAATGCATCAACCTGGAATATAGAACTGAATATATTACACATTTTTTTGCTACCCAGAATTTCTGGCACCGGAATTAGCAAGGTAAGATTTTTAAGCAAAAAAAAAAAAAAAAAAGAATGAGCAAGAGGTTTCCCAATGCAGCACATTGGCTTGTAATATTTTGAAATAATAGTTTTAACGTACTCAGAGCCCCCGTCCCCATCAACCATAACGTCCAAAGTCTTACTTATTATACTCATGCCCTTTCATCACCTTTTCAAATACTAATGAGTTTGCCAAGGTTTCTAGCTCCAGCAATCCCATTCTGTTATATTTGCCTGACTTGCCCTGGTAAGTTGTTGAATTTAGTCAATTTTAATTAGTTCCAAAAATATAGATAAGAGCAAACTTGATTAGACTTGGATGGGAGACCAACAAGAAATACCAGGTCTGTGGTTTACACTTGGGAAGTCAGAAAACTTCCCAGCAAAAGGGAATAGTAAACCTAAAGTAAATCATACTTTTGCTGAGAAAACCATGTTAATGTGTCAATGAAATCACCAGAAGTTGATCCTGATTCACAAGAGACTGCTTTTAACATTTGGCTTCACATTTATTGAATTAAAGAATCTGAAAATACCAAAACCAGACTGTAACCTCCCTTAATTCATGATTTAGATGTCTTCTAATGACTGTTAAATAAAATGCTCCAAAGCAGACAGTTGATGTTCTCCCTTTCTCCCCACATAACAGGTAATAGATTTCTATCTCCAAGAATTAATATAGATCAATAGATTAAGATTCAAATAGCTGGATCTTAATCTGTGGAGTCCTTAAATGCCCAGAGTTTGTTTGTAGCTGTTTCATTACCCAGCATTACTCAATGCTCTGATCAGTGTACTGATGTTGTTATTGTTGGGTAATGAAACATCTGCAAGCAAACAACATCTGCAAGCTCAGTGAGCACTAAGGACTTCCCAATTCAACTCTGAGCTATATATATATATTCTCTTTAATTGATCTTGAATTTGAAGAAATCAAGATAAGTTTTGGGAGGAGTAAAAAATATCGAAAACAAGATAGAATCAATATATAACATAATATGGGAGGTAAAAATGAAGGCTTACATAGCAACGTATATGCCTGATCTTTAATTCAAATAAGTTAATACTTTAAAAAAGCTAAAGAACTACATGAAACTACCAGGAACCTTCATTGCAAGCTAATGTCTGTTTAGTTGGATTTTTATTCAAAGCCAAGCGGAATAAAAATTAGCTAAATATGGTGGAAAGGCTATTTTGGGAACTATATGCTGGAGTTTAAAAAGAAAAAGTAATTGGTCACAATAGTTCTCATCCTGCTGTAAGAATGAATGCCTAATCAGGAACCTCTTAAGAGTTTTCAAAGCATCCTGCAATTAGAGGTGATGAATGGATTGGAGAAGGACACATACACATATACACCCTCACTCACTCACTACCATTACTCTGAAGTATTTTTTGTTGGACTTCATACCAAAGGAATAAGGTGGTAAGAATTTAGAAATGGTAGAGAATTATTGCATCACTTTGCAGGTATGAGATTACCTGCTTAATGGTCTCTGCTGAGAAAGAGTAAAAAACGTTTGAGATTAACCAGTTAGACCCTTCTAGTATGCTATGCTAGATACTTCCTTGCAAAGGGGGGTGTTTTTCAGCGTGTGGAACCATTCCAAAATCCCCATGTGCAGCCAAAAGTGATTTATTGCCTGAAATATGCCCTACAACAACATCACCTTTTGTGGTTTGGCCAGAATGTATAGATTGGGTGGGCAGCCCTGAAATGACTAAAACAGCCATCATCCATTTTTGCAGGCATGTTGGTTTGATTTTGTCACTTCTTAATTGATTGTTACTGGTTAACGGGCTAGTTGATCATTCTAACGCTTGTCTTTTGGATAACCTAGTTCTATTTGAGGATTAACACATTCATTTTGCTATTGGGGCACAAATTAAGCTGTCCAGAAACTTAGTCTGATTTTATTCCCAGCGTTTGGCAATTCTTCAAGTGCTCTCTCCTTACAAGTGATATAGAAAGCCCTGCCAGTATATGTCCTGGATATTGGATATCATTACCTTACATATCTATCCAAAAATTCAACTTGCTCTTTTGAAAGCACTGTAGCCAATTTACCAGACATTTGCTCCGTGGCAATCCAAGAAAAAGATGTTCTCAGTTCAAAGTGCCTGATTATGGAATTTCCTTTCTGAAAATTTGTCATTTGTTAGCCTGAGGTGCCAACTAAAGAATGACCTTTTGGCTTTGGCTGAACTTATATTGAAGAAAGTGGCTCTTTCCAATTAAAATTGTATTTAAAACAGTTGCATTAAATCATGACAAAATATTCCACTCCAGCGAAGGTAGTTGAACTGGTCCTTCAAACAATCAAAAATCAAAGTGTGCAGGGGGTGGGTAGGTAGAAAGGAGAGGCCTTTCTTAAAAACATTTGCTCAACAAATAAGAATGTCAAGAATCAAAAGTTTCAGTTTCTGGCTAAAGTAAGCTCTTGAATATTCAATCTGGATATTCTTGACTTTTGTGACACTTAGTTATAACTCAAGCTGGGCAACTTAACAAATGTAGGGCCAAAATATTTTTTGCCAAAATATTTAAAACAGATGCAAGGAGACCAGTAAACAGAATGTTAAAAACATTTTAATCTATGACTTGCACTTATATTATAAAGCTTATCCCTTCGGCTCTATTTGCAAGATGTCTTGATAACTTCAGAAACAAACTGATATAGGGATCATTCTGAATATAACACCACTTCCTGATCACTTTATGGAAGAGCGAGCTAGATCAGGAATGTAGGATTGTGGTTTGCTTACATTCATCAGAATAAGATAAAAGGCAAGCTTAAGTTATATAAGAGGATGAAATACAAGGTGTTTCTTAGGATTACCTCTTGCTCCTTTAAAATGTTTGTTCTCAATACTATACATAGTTTTGTTATTTGTGGACACAAACAAGCTTTGCATAGTCAATAGCGGAAAATTATCAAACAAAATTTTAACAGATAGAATCAGGACTTTTTTGGCAAAACTACTCCACAATACAGATTTACAGTATGTCTTAAGATTCTACACCCTTTTAATGCTATCCTTCATTTGTCCATTGCTAGATTTCAAAAAATGGCATAAGCTATTAAAATGTCCTGGGATGCTGGTTGTATTTTTGTTTGCAAGTTAAACATGAACATATCCAGCATTATACCATATAATCTCCCTGAGTATTTTGCTTCCCTGTGAAAATAGCCTACCTCTAACTCCCTGAAATCTGAAATGGATGTTCCTTCACTCCTCCAGCTTTTCTTGAAATGCTGAAAAGGGTTAAATTCTTGGTGAAAGTTTGGGCCAACATTTTTAAAACTATGAATAGACACAGAATGTACCATATTCCATAGTCTTGCATTTTTCATTGGATCTCTGTAACATTTCTCTTTCATGAAGAAAAGAGAATATGAATGCACTACTTAAGAACAGAAAGAGTTATTTTTCGCCATTTAGTTTTAAGTTTCCAGCCTTCTCTGGCTGCTATTCACTGAAAATAAAGTAACTTTAAGGAAAGTTAAATACTATAATTGGTGTAGTCCTCATCCCATCCTTGTATGCAGCTGCAAATACAGCATTTAACAAAACTGATGTTAAAATAATGTAAAACTGACAAAGCTTTTATTTATTTTTTTAAAAAAAGAACCATAAACTAACATTAAAGTACTTAAAATCTATAAGTATTGTATAACATCATTGTAAGTCATGCATTTATAATGTATGCAGAATTGAAAAAGCAAAAGTAATACGTTGATTTGGCCACTCCAGGAATAGGTTGCTTCCAGTCAAAAGATTAATTTTTGAAAAATTGTTGGAACTTCCCCAGATTAATGTGGTAATGGGAGGGGCAGGAGGGGGAAGTGAATATATCAGTTCTCCAGTACATTACATTATTGGGGAGTATATATTGCATATACATAAAGAACTATTAATTACTAGCATCGATGATACCTAGTTTGAGTAATGAAATGTCTGCAAGAAAACAACCAAGCTCAGATAGTTTCAAGAACCGCCCCCAGAAGATCTATTAATTCAGCAAAAATTTCCCCTTCCCAAATCTGCCTACAGAAGCCAGACCATAACAAAAAAGAAACATGGGGGAAAGTTGTTTAAAGGTACAATTGCCTTAAAGAAAGTGACAATGATGTGATATATTGTTTCTCCCATGAATACACCTTTTCTCCCCATTGTCATTTCTAATTAGCTATACTAAAGTCTTAATAGAAGGAACACCTCAGCTTGAGGGCTAGACTAAAAGGTTGAATGAAATCCCCAAAGAAAGAAGTAATAAACAATTTAGCACAAACATCTGCACAGGAAGTCATTAGGAGTTCATCTCAAACTCCATCTTTTCCTCAGCAAACCCTGATAATACATGTTTTCCACAGGCAATGATGCTCACATTATTTCCCACCTGCTTTGAAAACCTTGATAACAATAAATATTTCCACAATGATGTTACAGTATCTTCTCATTATTTCCCCATATGTTTTGAAAAGTAACTTTCAATTTCAATTATTTGTATTAAAGGAGGCCAGTTAATACTTTTATCACAGCAAAGTCCTAATGATAGTAATAATCTCCAATGTTCTTTTCTGTTATTAGATAGCGTTGCCAGGGATTAACTACCATCTTTAAAAAAAATTAAAAGATGGACACAACTTCTCATCTCTCAACATCCATTCCCACTGAAGCAAAAGGAAAAAGTTGTAAAAGAGCAGCATTTTGCCATTGCAAACGTGATGTGCAGGTTTTTTTTTCCAATAGCCTTTTACATTTAGCTAATAGAATATCAGTAGGCCTCTTAAGTGGGAAGGTATTTGCAAAGATTTGAATGAAATTAGCTTTAATGCTGTGCCCCCTGACTTAAGTTATTTGGCCCAGATGTTTCCATTGTTGCAATTCTTTAAACTGAATGATATAGATATATGCTTACGTTATATTGCTCAACTCATCTTTTCAAACTTCTTATATTTCCTCAAGGTGCTCCAGATGGAAAAGGTCACATGAATCAATAGTTATGTGTCCTTGTGCCTATTGACTCAGTAAGTGTCTTTTAAAATAGGTGTATCATTTAGGAATAATAAAGGGGACTGCTTGACCCTTGTTTAGGCATAGTACTCACCTGGACAATCTGGCAAGAGATGAAGATATGTTTCTGAGTCATGTCATGTCTGATTATTGTGTATCATGTCACGTTTGATTGCGGGTCCTGTGCAGGGACAGCTGATCGATTGACAAAATCCTCCATGCATGCTTTCAAAATTCCAGGTGGGTTGGCTTGCCCTCCAAAAAGGCTGGGGCACTTAGCGTTCACTGACTGGCAGTCATATTCCACAATCTCATATCAGAATATTTATATGCCTTCCTTTTTTAATATAAAACTAGTTGTGTTCTCCTAAACGACTCTCCCCACCCCTTATCCTCTGAAGGTCAAAGTGAGTAGCCAGAATTTTTTGATAATTTCCAAGAAGTAGCTCAGATAATTTTTGGTGTTTCTCATTATGCCCAGGTAACACTGCTGCTTTGCAAACTGTCCTAGTTCCCATAGGTTTCCAGGTGTAATTCAAGGTCCTGGCTGTCATCCGTAGTCCTCAATGGCATAGCACTGAGCTAATTGTGGAAATGCCTTTCTCCCATTGTTTCTATTTAGCCCTCTAGAAACAGCAGAAAAGGCATGCTCTGGGTGTCTTCTGTCAAATAATATAATCTTGTTGGAATTCAGTTGTGTCTTCCTGTTCTATGGAATAACATCCTCCTGGAGATTTGGGTGGCCTCCAACCCTATTAGCTTTTCATGAGGCACTGAAGACCTGCCTGTTTCTCCAGGTATTTGGGTCAAAACGTTAGGTGAGCTCTGCTGTTGTTGCTACATTTGAGGGGAGTTATTGGGGAAGGGGTTGTACACTGGGAGTTGTACAATTAATACTTGCACACCACCCAGACCATGCATCATCATTTTACTTTCTCTCCAGTATCTTTTTTTAATGAGAAAGAATGTGAGATCACATAGAACCGTATAACTTATGAACATCATATTGCAGGGAGCACTTAGAATGAGGAGCACTTAGAATGAGGAGCACTTAGAATGAGGAGCACTTAGAATGAGGAGCACTTGTGGCCCCCTAGATATTATTGGACTCCAACTCCTTGTCAATCCTGATTATTATGATTCATGGTGAGAGCATGGCGTTGTAGCTCAAATGCTAGAGAACCACATATTCTCACCTTTGTACTAAACCATAGTTGGCCTTATTCCAGAAGAAGAAGAAGAAGGAAAGGGTACAAATCCAGGTTTATCACTTGTCTGATCATGCCAAGTTAAATATCCCATATGTGATTGAAGACAGATCCCATCATTCCTTTCCAGCATTGCTAATTGGGAGTGGACATCCAGAATTTTTCAAGGACACAAAGTTGAGGAAGGGAATGATAAACTTGATTCGAATCAAGATAAATAAAGATAAAAAGTAAATGTTCTTCCCTTTAAAGAAAGGTACATAGTACCCTTGGCACATACCTTATTTGGTTACCCTAAAGCAATGTCACAAGCATCTCTTCTGCTTTCCTTACAGTAATGAATTATGTAACTAATAAATGATTGCCCTTTTGGGTTAGCCAATGAATTGTTTATATAATCTTCAGGTGGACCGTTGTGTCACTTGGGTGAAATGAATTTTAAATAAATATAAAGACAGAGAGAAGTTCAATTTAAATAGCAAAAAAGACCTGTGGATAAGAAATGCTGAATATTACTGGTACTACTTGACATATTTTGTTTAGCAGATGTCATTTTTGTTATCTTAGCTGAGTAGAAAAACTATGCTGGGAGAAGATTTTTTTCTTTTTTAAATTTCACAGCACATGCTCTATTTCTCTGAGAAATCATTTTGTTCCATCCCTTATTCTCTTTTTCTGTTTAAACAGAATTGTTGCCGTCACATCTAGTTCTTTCCAAATATATCAGTCCTGCCCTGCCAGAGAGGTAAGCAAAGATTAATGTATGTATTAGGTAAATAATTTGCAGAAAACCTGGATCAATTGGGATTGTGGAACCAAGCCATAAGAATTCAATCCAAATATGCCCCTATTTATAAAGGTAGGCCTCAACTTACAACCATACATTAATGACTGTTCAAAGTTACAGTGGCACTGAAAAAAGTAACTTATAATTTATAACCATTGTAGCATCCCCACAGTCACATGATCAGAATTTGGGTGATTGGCAACTGGGATGTATTTAAAATGGTTGCAGTGTCCTGGGCAGGGGTCACCAATCTTTTGGACCTCAGGGACCACCAAACTCATAATTTTAATCCCGGGGACCATTAATATGAATTTTGACTGACGGTGGCTTGCTGATGTTGGTGGAAGAGAAAAGAGGGAGAGATCTAATCTAACCTCTCTCTTACACACACACACACACACACACACACACACACACAGAGGCAGGGGTGGGATTCAAATTTCTTAACCAGTTCTGTGGGCATGGCCTAATTTGTGGGTGTGGCTTACGGTCATGTGACTGGCTGGGAATAGCTTGTATGTAAATATTATAAATATGTAAATATAGAATTTTTTATTAATAAAAGAGAGCAACTTTTACCCAAAATCAGGCAGAGCAGGTAGGCAGATTGAGTTGCTCACAGAATCACAGATTCATTCAGAGATCTGTGAGATCGTCTACCTGAGCCTGTCACATAAAATTTGCTAGCAAGCAAACTCACAGAAATTAACTCACAACACATCATGTATGTAAATATTGATTTTTTTATTTTAAAAAAGCAGCTTTTACCCAAAAGCAGGCAAAGCAGGCAGGCAGATTGAGTTGCTCACAGAATCATTCAGAGATCTATCTTGCATTGACTAGCTGAGTCTGTCATATAAAATTTGCTTGCAAGCAAACTCACAAAATTAACTCACAACACACCATGTATGTAAATAAGAATTTTTTTATTTAAAAAAGAGCGACTTTTGCCCAAAAGCAAGCAAAGCAGGCAGGCAGATTGAGTTGCTCACAGAAGCACAGACTCACTTAGAGATTTGTGTTTCTGCTATCGGCTAGCTGAGTCTACACTGCTTCAGTCCTAAGGAAGCTTTTAAGCAGAGCCGAAGATCTAAAGATTAGCTAAAAAGCAAAAAATCCAGTGATTTCCTGCTTTCTATCTAATCTAAATCTCCTGGCATAGCAGAACAGCTGATGGTCGGAAAAAGGAAAAATAGCAACTTAGCAGGCAAGTGAGTGAGTGGGCGGGGAGGGCGGGCCTTGTGTTTCTGCTCAGCCTGGATTAATTGCTTTGGGGGATGCTCTGGGGATGACATTTCTCTACGGACCACCAACATTTTCTCATGGACCACCGGTTGGTGACTGCTGTCCTAGGGTCATGTGATTGTCATTTGTGACCTCCCCAGCGACTTCTGACAAATAAAATCAAGGATTTCTTAAAAACCATGTTTCATTTAACAACTGGTAATTTGCTTAACAATCATAGCAAAAAAAATCATAAAATTGTCACTTAATCTTGCTTAACAAAAGAATTCTTGTTCCAACTGTGATTGTAAGTCAAGGAGTACCTAAATCCAGAACAAATCAGTAACCTGGATTTTGTACTCTGTGGCAAATGGAAACTCTGCTAAGAGAAAGAAAGAATCTTACTTTCTCTTTGCAGAGTCATCAAATGGCCCTGGAAATGTAGAATTTACATTTTTCTTCTTTACACTGACCATTGCATATACAGTACAGTGTTGCAATCATCAGTAAAATAAAATTCCACTTGTCTGCTTTTAAGGACTTTATAACACGTTTTTCATGAAACAAGCTAATTTCTATAGCTTGCTTTTTTCTTCACTGAGTCCTTTAAACAAATAACTCAACCATCCCAACTTTATAGACTTTTTACCACAATATAGAAATCTAACATGGCAGTATCTCCTAATGTGGTGGAGGAGAGAGTTCATCTGGATAAATATATGCTTATTTAGTCATAATTCAAGTTAGAGAAAGAGAGTTGACTCTGCATATTTCTGGACCCTTTGTTCTCTGGAAAAATCAGTGCTTCTGGAACCTTGATCCTATCTTTTCACAGTTAAAAAAATCAACAATTCTTCTCACAGTCAAAAATCCATACATATTATTAATTACTAATTTTTCAGTTGGATAAAAATGGACGGAAAAATCACTAGGCCAACCTAAACTAGATATAGGCCTAAAGAATTAGATTGATTTTTAAAAGTTAAAAAATGAAGTTATCATATGGATGAATCTCTAGATTTGAAATCTCATTGTTGTTAAATAATCGATGATAAAAGATTCAGAGCAGTTGTAGAAGGAAGCATTTTCACTTGTAACACTCCCACCCTGCCCTTTTAGTTAACTGCTAGAGAAAGGGAGAAAGCAAAGCTGAAGATGCCTGGAAGACACCAGGATCAAGACTATATTTAAAGTTAAGCATTTAAGAGCCATGGACCATGTGATGCATAAGATCTGATTGTAACCCATTAGTCACAGAAGCAAATAGAAACTGTTCTTGGGGGGGGGGGGGGGGGGGCGGGGGAAGACCCCCACGGAGGGCAGGAGAAGAATGTATGTAATGCACATGCCAATAAAAAAGTAACCTGCAGTTTTATTGCATATTAACTGAGATAAGTGCTAATTTTCATTTATAAGACTATTGTAGAGATTTCAAGGAGAAACATTTGAATAGTACAAAAGAGCCCTGGCCCTTGGTTGAATTCCTAATATCCTAAGCATCTGTCTCTTGCTTTAGTAATGGACAAATATGATCACAGGTTGTTTATCTGATGAGTATATGACACGTAGCACATTAGTCACTGTCTCTGCCTCTCAAAAGTGAAACCTCAGTGGGATGTTAGATGTGCTTTGACTCTAAAATTGCCAGTGTATCAGGTTAAGTTCCCTTCTTTTTTTAAAATAAACTTTATTAGTCTATTATGTCTTTTAAAAACAAAAAGATTAAGTTCCTTTCATAACCATCTATCCAAATAGCTCTTTTATACCAACTGTGTGCCATTAAATCATTTTTTATTCTTAGCAAACACGTTTTTCTCCATAAAATTTTGCACCTATTTGCTGGTAAATACAAATCTCATTGTAAGATTATGCTTTGTAAAACACTTTAGGGGAAAAACAGTGCTCAGCTTAATGAAAGACAAACTTGGTATGCTTGCAAATATTTTGTCCTTTTTTATAGTCCTTATGTGTTTACTTTGTCAAATAGTTGGCACAATCAGGGCCAAATTGAAACAATATGGAGACGTGAAAGTCCTTGTTTATAACAAGTTCTGCATTCTTCATGTTCATTCAGTTAGAGTATTGAAGCAAATTGCAATGCCAAGGGGTAACAGTTTGCTCACAACAGATGCAAAGTATTAAAGTTTCCCTTCCACTTCAAAGTCTTATGTCAGAGTTACTATTGGCCCTGCCTGGTGTGAGATGTTAATAATTCAGCATTTACTTCAGCCTCCAAGCAACCTGCTTCGGAAGCCAATGCAAAGCATAGTGTTGAACAAATCAATACAGAGAAATAGATGAAGCAACATAGAATGCACATGTGAACTTGCTAAAGCAATTTTTACTGGAGAAGCACAGGAGTTCCAAATAAATAGTGATTGCATAAGATCTGACCCTTTTTCCTGGCACAGAATATTTAAAGCATTTTACTTCTATTCTAGTTGAATTGTATCCAGGTTTGCTTAATCTCGATTTCTGCAGTGGTCTCACTGCACATCTAGAAAACAGCCTTCATGATGTTACAGTTTTCTTCTGTGTATCAAAACCTGTGTATCCTCCAGTTACTGGAAATCATACATAGGATCCACTCAAATTTCTCAGGGCACTGTTTCCATTCCCCAGATGCTAACAAAGCAGTTTAAAGCTGTCCTATATATTCATAAAGCAACCCAAAAATTGTTTAGTGAGGGGGTAGCCTTACAATAGCATAAAGAAATAAAAATACCACACATTATGCCTACGAATCACTGTAAAATTTCAAGGAATACCATAAAGCAATTGGCGCTCAAGAGACCAAAAATGTTTTCTCATCATTTTCTCATCTACTGAACAATGTACACATTTTGGAGCTATGAAAATCTCCCATTCCCACCACAAAGAAAAAAAGGAAATAAATTGTTAGCTATGTTCCCCTTCCCCTGGAGGTTTTAGTTCACCTTGTATGCATTTGTTTGGCTGGGTTTTTGTTTTTTTTTTGGAGGGGGGGGGGAGTTTTTCCTCTACAAAAAAAAAATGCCATAAAGCAATCAATGCTCTCCTCAAGCCATAGAAGGAGAACAAAACTCTTTTCCCATCATTTTTTCATCCACTGAACTAATTACACATCCTGGAGCCATGAAAATTCCTCACTCCCACCATACAAAAAAAAAATATGAAAATAAATTGTTAGCTACTTCACTCTCCTCCTCAGTTCACATTATATACATTTGTTTGGCTGTTTGGGGGAAAAAATGAATTATTCCTCTGTAAAAATGCTTTTTATCTTCATTGCCATGTTTCCTTCTACATTTAAAAGACCTCTGCAAGCTATAATAATGAAATGGTAATGTTAGCATTTGCAATATGGATTCTTACCTCTAATTTTGGCTGATGCCCATACAGTAGGTGGAGAGGGAGAGGCATTCTAACTAAGATTTCCAGACAAGCACCAGGAACTGGATCCTGAAGCTTGGAGCCAGGCTGAGGCAAGGAAATTAACTACTCAAAAGCTTTTCAAAAGAACTAGCAGCTTGACATCTGTTTCAAATAAATCATTGATTGGAATAGGGGAGGGGGAAAATGCTGATGTTTACACCTGATTCAGAATTGATGCTAGATATAAAGTACATACAGATTTCAAATGCTTTATGTTTCTTCTTTGGAGGTTCCTGAGGGTTGTTGTTGTTTTAATTAAATAATAGGTATCTCTAAGCATGGTATCCTCTCAGTATGGAACCACAATTCCGTGTCTGATTGATGAGTTTTGTAGACTCAGTGCAATTAAACAACACAAGGCTGGGAAAGTATTCAAATCCATGCCTGCTTCCTTTCTCCCCTCTTTGGTGTGCATATGCACAGAGCAGTGCTCACATGCTCATCACAACTGTCAAAGTCTATCTTGAGAAATATTGGACATCATTGAGACTTGTGAGTCTGCATCTTGAGTTTGATGGTAGAATTGTTGCCTAACTGATATGGAAGAAAGCAAATTGATGATATTCTTTGGCATAGCGAAGTTGCATATTGTCTTTGATGCACCTTTGTTGCTCTGTGATCCATTCCAGGGCTGCTGTGCCAGAAAGATGAATGTGGGCACAGCGCACAGTGAAGTGAACCCAAATACCCGAGTCATGAACAGCCGTGGCATCTGGCTCTCCTACATCTTGGGAATTGGCCTCCTGCATGTGATTTTGCTCAGCATTCCTTTCTTAAGTGTTCCTGTTGTCTGGACCCTGACCAACCTCATTCACAACATGGTATGAAAGTATTCTTTGGCTTCACAAACAGATGCTTCTGCAACAGATAGTAGAAGGAGCCAAAATGGTGGTCCCTCTCTGTGATTTCTAAGCAAATAGGAAGGGGGGAACAGTCACATGAATGGTTGCTGTAGGGAATTCAGGTGCAATTGTTGCACAGCCCTACAGCCAGTGGGTATAATCTTTTCTATCTAGGAATCCATTTCCTAAACCTGAGTGCTTCCTTGAAGATCTCATCATCCTACCTAGATTCCTGGCTCAACTTGGAAACTAGCCATACATCTCAGCTAAACAATTGTAGATTTGGGGGCCCGTTTGATGTGTCTGCTCCTATTTTCTTTCAGTGTTCTCTGGCACTTTAGGATAATGTGAGGATGGGTTAATTATCTAGTGAAAATGTCCATCACATCACCTGGGACAAGGGTAGCAGTGGAATTAGCTGAGTAAGGTATTTGAAGCAGAATATTCACATATAAAGATCTTAGTTTACTAAATCAAAGCCCAGTAAAGTGTCAAAGTGGCATTCACGCTGCTTTCTATCATGCTTAGCTTATAACTATCATTTCCCTTTCCAGAGAAAAAAAATCTTGGTTTAGTTTGTATTAGTTTGCAAAATCAACTTTGATGTGTTGGTGAATAATCAAGATTAATTCACATTTCCTGGGTTACCTACAGTAGGAAACAGTTATTTAAAGGAGAGTTAGAAAGTTGGAGATTTGCAGTTCTACACTCTCTTGCCTTTGATTGAGTTGTTCAGAAGAATTAATTAATGGCTGCCTATCCCTGTTTTGAGAACTATAGTCATGATAGATTCACTAAGCCCAGTATAGATGGGATAGAGTCAGTGGTTCAATACTAATTTGTCCTACAGTGAAATATTAAGCCATGGGTGTGTATCAGATCTGACTGATATACACATGTTCATTCACACTACTCTTCCTGGATTTATGTACATTTTAGGTAGTCCTTGCTTAACAGCTACAGTTGAGATTGGCAATTCCATCACTAAGTAACTCAACTGTTAAACAAGACATCACATGATTGTAACAGATTTATGACCTCACTTCCACCCTGGTTGTTAAGTGAATCATTCTGGATCATTGAACGAAACATTATGTGACCACTACTTGTCATTCTACTGCTCTTTTCTCTATTGACTCTGCTTAGCAGAAGTCAGCTGTGATGTGTACAAATCACAGAACATTATGAGAGTTGTAAGCTCCCGGTGAGTTGTGAAGCAACTGGAATGATCATATCACCATGGAGACCTTGCGATGGTTGTATAAGAACCAGTCATAAAATTGTTTTTTCAGTGGTATTGTAACTTTGAATGGTCTCTAAATGGGGCAATCATTAAGCAAGGATTGCTTGTATATATGAGGTGGAGGGAGAATCAACCCCCCCCCCCAAAAAAACCCCAAATTCTTATATTCCTGTAAGAATAGGAAAAATTGCATAAGTAAACCAAATATGGCATGCAAAAGAGCTTCATGGAGAACATAAGGCGAAATGTAATAGAAAGTAAAACCTTAAAAACTACAGTATAACAATTGTGAGCAGTTTCGGGAAAGTGGCTTTTTTCTGTTTCAATATGATCAGCCAGTCATTTAAGCTGATTTGCATCTTAGAGTAAGGTCCCCTCAGTTCATCTTTTCATGTTCTTCTACCTGACCATTTCTACTAGACGATCAGTAGTTGCTGAAATGGTTGTACAAGTGGAACACTGAGTGAAACACGGAGAGCTGCAGCCCAATTGCAGGCCAGAAAGATTGTGTAAAACCAATTTTGTCATATAAGAATCTACTTGCCAACTGGGGCTTTGCACTCCAGTTGGTGGTTGTTAAAAGTGGAAAATATAATTTAGTGTTTCCCCGCTAAAATGTAACATAATCTGCAGTCATTTTACTCAGTGTTTTTACTCTTGAAATATAGAGTGGGCTATAAGGGTCTGATCCATCTATTATCCTACAACCAGGGGTGGGATTCTACAGGTTCGCACCTATTCGCTAGAACCAGTTGTTAACATTCTAAGCAGTTCGGAGAAACGGTTGTTAGAAGAAATTACTGTCCTAATCCTGTAAGGAAGGCAGGAAGGAAACATTCTGGTGTTGCTTACAGAAACTGCCTCTCCGTTAACCCTTTTTACATTCTTGGCAGGACTAGACTTCCTGTCTCAGGAACTTCTCTGGAGTTTTTTCCCCCCTCCTTTGCTGATACTTTGCTTGGTGGAGTGACCATTTAAAGTTACAGTGGCACTGAAAAAAGTGACTTATGACCATTTTTCACACTTACGACTGTTGCAGCATCCCCACAGTCATGAGAGGCCAGGCGAGGAGATGCATGCCTCAATGTGAGTGATGTTGAGTTGGCCACGCCCAGCCAGTCACATGACCACCAAGCCACGCCCACCAACTAAGCCACGCCCACAGAACCGGTTGTTAAAAAAATTGAATCCCACCCCTGCCTACAACCCAAAGATTATGCCAAAATCTCTTGTTCAGCAAAGGGCAGCTTTATTGCCAGAACCTTTGCACCTGCTCAGGCATATATGACTGCTTCGCACACAGAGAAAAATATCACCACCTTTGCCTGGTGCTGATATTTCACACATCAACACTAGTCTAGGGAAGATGAGATGTTAATCATCTCAGTGGCTATCATTCATTGTACCAATTTCTAGCCTATTAAGTATCTCTGTCAGTTTATCTTCTCTAGCCTCTTGGAGACTAATTTTTGCTTCTCTCCTCCTTGATCTGTGTGTCCATCAATTTGTATGCCCCAGATCTGGCTTTCCACTTATGTTCTATTGCCTGTAGTTTAGCTCCCCAGTGAGCTCTGATATATGATGATGCTGAAGAACTCTTTGGCACAGCTCTTGTCTCGTGGCTGCAAACCAATGAAATACCTAAATCAAAAAGAACCAGGGAGGATTATAGCATAAAATTTGCCAGTAGTCATTTCCATGGATGTAAAGAAATTTCATACTGACTGTTATTCTTCTCTCAAGAAAACATGTCTACTCAAAGCTAGCATTTTTGCCCTTTGGGGGGGACATTGCTTCTTAGGTTGAGAGTCAACCTGTGGTTAAGGTAATGGAACAGGAGCAAGGACATCTAATTCCAGTCCTCTTTTGCACCCAGAAGCCAGCTGGGTTACCTTGGCCAAGTCTAGCTTATTAGCTTATTTTAATAATGTGTTGGTAAGCAGAAAGCCCTTGTTGTATCATGTACAGGTAGTCAGGGGTGGGATCCGACCGGTTCGATCCGGTTCTATAGAAGCAGGAGCTCTGAAGAGCAGCTACACTGAACCAGTTCACTGGGATGAGGTTTTGGTCTGCTGTTTGGCCTGCCCGCCCACCCGGGCTCTATGCTGTCCTTTAACAAGGCAGTTGTTAAGCACCTGATTTTACAAGCTTTTTTTGCCATGATTGTTAAATGAATCAAAGAGTCATTAAATAAATCCAATTTGCTCAGTTGACTTTTCTGATTGAAATCCAGCTGGGAAGGTCACAAATGGCAATCACACATGACTCCAGGATGCTAAGTACATGCCAGTTTTGTTCATGTGAATTTTGTTCATGTGATTGTGGAGAAGCTACTGCAGTCATAAATGCAAGGAGTTACATATTTTTGAAGTGCAGTTGTAAACTCAAATGGTTATTAAACGAATGGACTAAGGACAACCCATACTGATAGTTTCATTCTATGAAATAGCTACAGTTTTTAGCAGTGAAACAACCACTAAAAAAAAAAAAATCAATCATAGCCTGTCATTGTGTCAGTGATAACTTAGGAACCTGAGATGAGATTAAGCCTCCTTTCTATTTTTTTAGTTACCGTGCACTAATTCTTATTGAAACAGTGGTTTTGGACTTTACTCAGCACTTTCCCTTATTGTATCATTTCCATTGCAAGAATATTGTAATGTATGTCATTTTCACCTTTCTCATCGCTTAAACCGCTAACCAAAAGAAAAATATGCAGCCAAGCAAGCTAAAAAGTCCAACTAAACTACCAAGCCTTTGTGTTGTCTTACAGTGTATGTACATTTTCTTACACACTGTGAAAGGAACGCCGTTTGAGACTCCTGATCAGGGGAAGGCCCGGCTGCTCACTCACTGGGAACAGATGGACTATGGAGTGCAGTTCACTGCGTCTCGCAAGTTCTTGACTATCACACCAATTGTACTGTGAGTACCAAAGAGACCGTGGTTGGAAACCCTCTTCTATTGTTATTTTCCAATTTCAGCATGCAGGGAGTGCTGCAGTTTGCACTGAAACAGGGGGATTCAAGCTCTGTATGGAAGACCATTTAAAACAAGATTGTCAGGATTCCAGCAGTTACTCCAATTAAATCATGAGCCTCGAGCCACACTCCCAAAACTTCTTTGGATTTTATTAGAGGTTAACATTCTGGAATTTGCCTGGGCATAGTCAACTCTGAGACACGTAAAACATTTTGTATGCACATTTTATAGTTGTCAAAGATGGGCAAAGTCATAGATACCTCATAGTTATGTCAAGTGTAGAGCAGTCTAGAACTACATCTTTCAGTCTCCTTCTCTGTTGGCCTTGCTGATGAAATTTTTGCCAAGAGTTGTAGGTCAGCAGATGGGGGAAGGGGATATTACACATTCCTAATTACTGGTTCACAGCCTTGGTTTAAATCATATAACCTAAGAACATAAAGGATTAGATGGATTAGATCTTACCTAAGGCTTATCTATCCAGCATTCTGTTTCCTGCATTGAAGCAATACATCTTGCTTCAATGCAAAATGTGTATCACATTCATGCTTGTATGCTTAAATATGCTTTATTGAATTAACCATAGTTTGCTGGTTTGCACAAGACAAAAAAAAAAACACCCACATGAAAGCATAGTGGATGTGGAAAACCAATTATTGCTTTATATACTTCCCAACCTGATGACAATTTGAAAAACCAGTGGCAAGTCATGGGGACGTTGTCTCTTCCCTGAGTTCATCAACAGCATTCATCAACCTCTCTTCCTCAGGTTTATCACCTGTTCAAGTAGGCATCTTCATCCCATCTTGTGGTAGCCAGTTTGGTACGTTAGTTATTTCCAAATGTTCATAATCCCTGTTTTCTTCTTGCCCCAATTTCTATCCTCAGATGACAATAGAAAATTGGGTTGCAAAAGAGATCAGTGAAGCCACTACAAAGGAGTGGCAAAAAAATATATATTATTTTTTGCATCCTATGTTTTACTGCCTTCCTTCAGTCCTCCAAGTGGAAAGGATTAGCCAGAGGCCACATAGAATCAATAACCATATAAGATTGTTCTTTTTTTCTACCTACTCTTTAAAAGACGCAGTAGATAGGATAGTCTCAGAGTTATGTGCAATTATATTGCACATAACTCTGAGATTTATTTATTTTTTCGGAGCACTTTATAATGCCGTGGCATTACTGCTATCTTGGTTGGGATTTACAAAAATCATTGGGTGGAATTGAAATAATTATCTAATCTTCCTTTAGTTACCACAGTTGGGAATGGCAGTTTGGTCACTACAGTCTTACTTCAGCTTTCCTTTATAGACCTGCAGAGATTGTAAATGTGAGGATGGGTTCTAAAATTATTTTTCCACCACAATCATAACTGCTAATGATCACTGCAAAAGACAGTCTCTAAACAGACTGCAGATAGCATCCCCCCCCCCCACTTTGATATCATCCAGTTGTGTAGAACAGGGGTCTCCAACTTTGGCAACTTTAAGACTTGTGGACTTCAACTCCCAGAATTCTTCAGTCAGCTTTGCTTTCCACAAGTCTTAGAGTTGCCACGGTTGGAGACCCCTGGTGTAGGATAAGGGACGAATATTTGAAAGTATTTTAAGCACTATTGTAAAACTGAAACTCCTTTCTTTTCCTTTCCACAGTTATTTTTTTACCAGTTTCTACACAAAATATGACCGGGTACATTTCATCATCAACACCATCTCTTTGATGAGCGTCTTGATCCCCAAGTTGCCTCAGCTGCATGGTGTCCGTATCTTTGGAATCAACAAGTATTGAGTTTGGCTGGGGTGGGGGTCTTTTCTCTCCCTTCCTGGTGAGCTGTGAAATACCAGAGTGAGAACCCCACTTTCTTTGCTCTGGCTGCATCTTCAGGTTAGGATTGCAGGACAGCTCTTTTTCTCAATGGGTACATTGCACAGGATTGCAAAATATAACCAGCTCTGGGCTTGCAAAGAGACAAGAGGAAGCTGAAACGTATGATAATTAATCTTGTTATTGTTTCTTCTCAAGAATCTGAAAATAGATGCGGGCACACACTGCTATAGAAAAGGCATTCCTCGTTTGTTCTCTAGTACAGGGGTCCCCAACCACCGGTCCGCGGACCGGTACCGGTCCGCGGAACAAGTCCTACCGGGCCGCTGGCTTGCTGGCGCCGCCATCTTTTTTTGATGAAAAAGTGCTTCTGGTGAGGTCACCGGAAGCACTTTTTCATCAAAAAAAGATGGCGGCGCCCAGCTGATGCTGGTACCGGGCCGTGGCGCCCAGCTGATGCCGGTACCGGGCCGCGGCGTAAAAAAGGTTGGGGATCACTGCTCTAGTAGGAAAGGATTCTGGTTCAGAAGGACAATAAAAAGCCTCATTCGAGGTGACACTCATTTAAGATGATGGCAAATGCACTTTAACATCAAACTGTCCCATTGGGGGAGTTTGACTTGCTCATTGAAAGGGCTATATCAATATCAGAAATATTAAGCTAGAGCTATGAAAAGAATAGTCAGATTTCTCTCAATTGTTTATAAATGCCTTTAATGAAGTAGACGCAGGATTAGGGTAGAAGAAGAGAGGAAGAAACAGAGGAAATGCCTTTGATTTTGCAGTGGGTGCTGCGGTTTGAATCCCAGCTTCCCCACTGGCACTCCTGGCCAGAGAATTACGCCTCTTGGAGCACAAATGGCTTACTGTGAAGTTACATGAGGGCAGAAGTGAAGAAAACAAGGAATGTGGCTAAAAATAATAATAATCAGGGCCTCATTTCCAATTATCTTTCTCCTTGTCAGAAATCCAACAGTAGTAGAGTATTAAGATCTGTTATTGATTACTTATTTATGACAGTGCTGAAACTCAGAAGCTAGTGTCTTTCATTACTCATTGTGATGTCTAGCAAAGGTGACGGGTTTGTTTTCTTTGTGTACCTACCATCCACGTGGTGGAACAGATTTTGCAAAAATATATTCTTATGTTAAAATAAAAATGATCTAGCAGCAATGGCGCATCTAGTATAATTTTTATTTTTAAGGACTGCTTGCTGTTAGCCTGTTTCTTATCCACAGTGCCAGTTACTGTAAGAAAGGAAAATTGGTTTTTATTTGGTTAACATTGTTAACCTATCATTTCTTCAAAAAGCTGCAAAAGGAAAAGTTCCATTTAATAATGCAGGTTTCCTCAAACTTCCTACTTTCCAGATTTGTTTCACATTGGTAATGCTAGTTGGCCTGCTACATGAGTTGAATCTTCACACATCTAGAGGGCATAATTTGGAAAGGACTGCTACATGGGTGTTTTTCTTCTGCAGCTTTTTATTAGGGCGTAAGGAGAAGAAAGAAAACACAACACTAGAAGCTTAATACGTTAAGATATGAGATGCCAACATTATTAAAAAAAAAAAAAAACCTCAGGCTGCACTTAGGAATTAAAAATTTGGGGGGTATATGTGAATTTTGATGATCAATATCTTGGATATAAATGAAGTTGCTTCATATTGTTAAGCATGCATCCTGTTAAGAGGAGTATAATTTAATGACCCCTTCTCTCCTGTAGATATGTATATAGTTAGTTAAGAGAGGAGACTGCAGTGAAAATTAACATGGCTGGAATGTTTTTTGGCATTATTTGTTCAAATTCCAAAAGATTGGATCCTGATATTAGCTTCTACTGTTTTGCTAAGTAGCATACACGTGGATGCTAGTGGAGCTAGATATAAAAATAAGTGGAAAATACTTTTTTCAACTGGGTAATTAAACTCTTCTAACACTTCTCAAGAAATAGCAGCATATCTGAAGCATTTATTCTGCTTCCAGAGAAGCTAAGTAAAATAAGTATTTCTTGTTAACAAATATTAATGTTAACCTATTTTGTAATGAAACATATTCCAGAACATAAAAGGAAACCTAAATGATAATGTGGTAATTATATGTACTATAATATATGAAGCTTCAAAAATTATTCTACATGGAGCTACAAGGGGGAAAAAACATTAGTTAAGAATAGATAGATAGATAGAATAGATAGTGATCACTTTGGGGTTTTCATCTTCCTACTTATAGTGACAATATTTATATTAAAGTTGAAGCACTTAGTGCTTGAACCAATAAGCTAATCTAAAGTTGAGCCATAACCCAATCTGTTTGTCCCTGAAGCGTCCTCTCCAGATATTAGACCAATCATCAAATACTAAAGGGGAGATAATTTCTTCTTGTTTAATTAAATGTAAAAAAAAAAAAGTATACACGTTACGTGGAAAATTCCTAATTCTGAAACCTGATCACAATGATCTGGTCCTGGATAAAGCTACTCAAAGCCTAACCACAGGCTCTGGAAGTCACTTGTCTAGTTATTAGAGCAGCAACTTTCTCCAATCCTTGGAGATCATCATGCAAGATGACATGACAGCTCAAATGCACTTCCCAAGTCATATGAACTATAGCAGAATTTCAAGGTTTTGTAAGATTCTGAAGGTTTTTGGGAAGAGAAGAGGGATTCTCTTAGAATTTGACAGGTGCTTTATTGCTGATTGTTAATAAAGTATAACAATATCCCCATCTATACTGACAATTCTAAACACATAATGCTACACATTATGGAATCAGCTTTAGAGTTAGACAAGATGTTTCAGTTGTGGCAGGTCCAACTCAGGATTTACTACCTAAGTGAGCCTTTTTTTAATCCTCATTTGTGCTAAATGAGCACTGGTGAGGTTATTTCACAATGGAAGGCTTACTGAAGCCCAGAGAGGAAGAATGGCTTTTCCTAGTGAAATTCTTCTCTGAGATATGTGGTCTTCTCAATTCAGTACATCTAGCAAAATACAGGTAGTCCTCGACTTACAACAGTTCATTTAGTGACTCTTCAAAGTAATGATGGTGCTGAAAAAAGTGCATTATGACCGTTTCTCACAACCGCAACATTTGCAGTATCCCATGATCACAGGATCAAAATCCAGGCGCTTGGCAACTGGTTCATACTTACGGTGGTTACAGCATTCCAGGGTCATGTGATTACTTTTTGCAACCTTCTGACAAACAGTCAATGGGAAAGCCAGATTCACTTAACAACCAGGTTACTAACTCATCAACTTCAATAATTCACTTAACAGTGGCAAGAAATATAAAATGGGGCAAAACTCACTTAATAAATTCTCAACATAAATTTTGGGCTCAATTGCGATCACAAATTGAGAATTACCTGTAGCAAATAACTCTGGAATCTATTCCCCCAAATCCTAGCATGGTTGAGATTCTTCATTGCTATTCATTTCAGTATGTCCTATTTTTATGCTAGTGTAAGACTTCCTTCACATCCTGGTACCTCTAAATGGATCGAGCATCTCTAATTTCCATGATCCTCCTGCCAAGCATGTCCTTTGGATTGTAAGTCAGAAAACATCTGGAGGAGCTCAGTCTCGGGACTCCAATAAATCCACTTTCATTCAAATCAAAAGTCTCTGGCCGCATCTCAGAGAAGAGTAAATTGATTTATTAGGAGTGGCCATGTTGGCGTAAGCTGGATGCAGCCGATACTAAATTACATCATACATTTCCCCCTTGACCCTGGTCTCCCCCCCCCCTTCTCCATGTGACTTCTCCAATGGGACACATCCATCTCTAAGAGTCATCCATCATGCTCTCCAATAACCTTCTTACGCTCCAACAACTTTGGGCTACTGGGGGTGATTATCTAGGCATTTAAGGAATGCCTTGTTTTCCCTCCACTCCCTTTTTCTGGCAGCTAAAAAGGCCAACGGAGTATCTTTATAGTTGACACTCAAGATTGCGGAAAGCTTGACAAATACGTCTTAAACGCAAAGTACTTTTAAGTATCCATAAAAAGAGAGCACAAGAAGAATTTAGAAACATTTGAAAAAAAAAAAGTAGGAAGATGAACTTGTATATATTTGCTCCACTTTTTTTTCCCCTTAAAATTATTTATTTAACATTTTTCTGCGTGGTTGGGTTCTTTGCTTATGTGGGGGCTCTTCAAATGAACTCAGGTTTGCTTTCTTTTCTCTCTGTGCTAGTTTTCTTTCCCCTTCACTCTCTGGAGGGAAGGTTATTGAGAATTCAAAACTGTACTGGAAAGCTGATCCTTTGCTCCTGCAAATCAGGGATGGGTGGGTGTTAATGCATCTGAGTATTGTGTGTGCAGAGCAGTTAACTGTATGCAAGCAGAAAGCTTAAGTTTCAGTTTAAAAAAAAAGTTTAAGCTTAGCACTTGCCTTAAGGAGAAACCCAATTAACTGGAGGAAAATGTGTTTCCACATACAGTTCTAAAAATAATAAATTGACGAACGTTACCTTTGGTTCAAAGATTGAATTACTTTAAGGGCTTTATATTGTACATTTATCTGAACTATTCAGATATTTAGGCCATTTTTTTCCTTATAAAGTGTCCTCTAGGTGATTGCTCCTTTTTATAATCTTTATTTCGAGAGCTCATCTAAAACACAATGGGAGAGTATCAGGTAGAAAAAGGATGTTATAGCCAATATATATCTCTCTGGAAAATACTCCCAGCATTCCTATTTTGTTTTAAAATGTGGAATTGCCAGCTTGTTCTTGTGGCAAACATTTTAAAAGCAAAGTGTTATTTCGGTGATTATGTGATTACATGTTTTTTATGCTGACCAGATTAAGTTCATGAGGTGTTGCTAAAACTTGTTAAGGGATGCACAAGATAATGCTTGCAAAATTGTTTCATAATACAGTAGAAAATAAAGGAGAATATAGCATCCTCCATGTCACTTTATGGAAGATCTGCTCAAATCTAATTTTGTATAAAAATTACAAGATGGCATCCAACCCACCCTTCTTTGTTTTCCCAGGTATAGTAGCTGTTTTGATCTCAATGTATCTTTAAGCTCATAAAATGTCCCTGCACTTCTTACAAAACTAGCACAGAAATAATTTCTTCACCAGTGTTGGGTGTTCACTGGAAAAAAGAGCAACCTGGTACTTTTCTGAAATAGAACTATAATTCTATAATTACTATAGTAGAACTTTAAGCAAATTCCCCCAGCTGATGGGACTGATAAGGAGTCAACAACACCTAGAAAAAGGGCACTTCCCCTAGCGGCTGTATACACCAGTGATTTTTACCCATGTTAGCAGAAAGAGAGGCCCATCACATACAGAGCCATACAATTTCTATCTTTTGTGCTACAGTAGTTACCTTCAATGACTTAATAGTTGCTCAGGGTTTAGTATAGTCATTAGGTTGTCACAATTCTTATCTTTTTACTTTTAATGCAATTTTAAATTTTATTTTATCTCTTTTCTTTAAACACTGAATGACTGATTTAGGATATTGATCTTGTGAACTTAATAAAATAAAATGATACAGTAGGACCAGATCCTCACTCCTGTACCATACTGTTAAAATTAAAAGCTTCAGGTTGTGCTAATACTTTAGAGTTTTGCTATTATTAGGCATGTGATATATTGTGAATGCCTATTTACCACTGGAATAATGTAGGGTTCCTCTTGCTGTTTAGTAATAAGTTTCCCCAGTGTGGAAAGGGACAACTAGCTCTGTCTGACTTGCCACCGGACAAGTTGATGCAGCTAGTTTGCTTTAGGATAATTCAATGTGGGACACTCGAGAGGGACAGGAAGAATTGCAGATCACCTCAAGGACTTCTAGCTTGAGAAGGTTCAAAGCTAAATCAAGACAAGGCCTGCTACAATTCACTTGTCCCTCTCTTGAGTTATCCTGCGTTGAATTGTCCCGTAGTGAATTGGCCCTGTGATGAGTTGGCCAGGATGACTTGTCATGAGTGATGAGTTGAGAGGCGGCCGCAATGAATCATCCTAGACCCTCTCCAGTATGAGTACATAATCGTCTCTTTGATCATTAAAGAAAGTAGATATGTATAACTCTAAACCAGCAAATTGGTTGCAGAACAAAATTATGTTGACTCAGAGGGATCAAGGATCAATTTGTAATCCATTTTACTCACGTGTCTGTATGAAGAATTACACTCCATAATTTAT